ACCTCATTTAATATACCGTCTTTAATTTTTCTCTCATCTTTCAACAATAGATATTCAATGATGGGAAAAAAAAAATAATGAAACATGTTTAAATCTTTAGTACTAAACACCTAACATAAAAATTTAGAGGACATAGCCTAATGATTGTTGAACACGATGCATTGTTCTTAATTTTTTATGACAAAAATTGTGGATGGTTCTAACTGTGATGTTATTATCGCTATAAATAAACCTTTACGTAGAATTGAAAATTTGCATCAGGTTACGTCTGTTTGGGAAAATGATAAAATGGAAATGGACCAAAGCGTAAGACATTGGAAAAGGCCAAGGAGCAAGAAAAGACAGAACCAAACAAAACGAAGGGACTGGAAAATCTTCAATTTTTTTCAAAAACCACTAACGTTTATGAGCTATAGCCTACAGGTAGGTGTAGGAGTAGTCTTATTCTGGTTTTGTTTGGTGGGTGGCACCTGTCGTTGACTTCTCTGCCCCTTTGTCTGGGTCGAGAATAGTTGTCCTGGGGTTCGTGCAATTTTATCTATATTTTATGCTGTGTTTCAAAAATGATTGATCCGGATTATTCAAACAAATAATTTTGTTTTTTTTTAATAATTTAAATTATTTATAGGATTAATTAAGAAAAAGAAAAACAAATTTCATGGACTCAAACGTGTAACGCATGAAACCCATGAAAGTAAACAGTTTTAACGCCTGACTAATTTGTAATTCTTTTTTGCTTCTCCTTGCTCTTACCATTTTATGAGAGTCTAATAAAGAGGCAGGATTTAATATCAGGGGGTTTAGTTGCTTTATTACTCTGGATTAATATTAGGAGTAATAATTATAAAAAGTGTAATAGTTGTATTTTAAACTTTTAAGTTTTTATCAAAATAAAAATTAATGTATTATGACATTAAATGTTAATTATTATATTTTTTATATATCAAATAAAAAATTAGATAATAAAAAATTATTCTCTTATTCTACACATATTAAAATTAAAATTTAAAATTTTTAATGAAAAAAAGATATTTCATTCATATGATTGGTGTGACTTGAAAAGACTTTAAGTTATTAATTTTGTGACTTTAATTAATGAAAAGTATTTTTTAATATAAATTATGTTTTTTTATGTAATTTAAATATTAAAATTATTAAAATATTTTTAATAAAAGTATAATTTATATTTATTTATTAATAATATTTTAATAACTTTAATACTTAAATTATATAAAAAATACAATTTATATTACAAAATACTTTTTTCTTTTGTATTTAAACATCTTAATTTATTATATTTTTATTTTTTACCATAAAAATATATTATACAATTTAAACTCTACGAAAATAAGAACATTTTGAGGGATTCTTAATCTTGGGATTGGGGGAAGTAAGGAGCAAGTTGTCCTGTTCAATTTCCCCATACTATGTGCATTTTTTCTTTGACATAATAATCTGGCTTTGTTCTTTTTTTCTTTTTTCCTTTTGTTTTTTTGTGGTCTGGAGATTGGGCAATTATAGAGGGGAGTTGGCTCTATAAACGCCCCAGTTGGTGTCCCATTAACATCAAGTAGTCATGCCCCTTTGAGTTGAAAGTAGGGGGAATAATTATCTGTCTTTCGAGACTTGAGGGGAGAAAGTTTCAATGCAATAGATGTGTTATGCTACAGGTTCTGACAAGTTATCTTAACCAATGAGAAATTCACATTAATTTCAATAAATTTGAAGATATATTTACAGAAATTTGTCATGACACGAACAATCTTTTGATAATTTGTTGATATAAAACCTAAAACATCTAATATGTTGGATTTTCATTGATTTTTTTTTATTAATAGTCAAAGTATTTTCATACTTTTACATTTTTTTTTTAACAAGGATAATGGTTAAGAAATTAGTAGGAATTAGTTGTTAGCAACTGGTGCTCAAACCGAGTAAACATTCTACCTCCTTAAATAAGGCGCTAAGCCATCAGATCACTTTTTTGTGGAGTTCACGACGGTAATGAAATTTGAAATTTCGACCATCACACTAAATACACTTAAGATTTTGGATCGAACCATTGAATCTAAAGACCCGATTCCATACTTTTACATTAATTTATTACATTTAAAAAAATTAATTTTTTTAATACTCACCATAAGACTTGTACCATAAAAACGACCCTTACCATTGTTGGATTTTCATTGATTAGGAATGTCTCCGGTGTGATATCAAATTACACTCAAGAAATTTTCCTTTAAAGACTATATATGAGAGTTTGACCCTATTGAAATCTTTACGTGTGTTAATAGCTTTGTCCAAATATATAAAAGCCGTCCTATACGCAGCAAGATTGAATGATTTGTCTCCTTGAACCTTCTATTTCAGTGTACAACAGGAACAAGTCAAGAGAATGTCATCGATGCCTCCAGCGCGCCTCGACCACAATAAAAGTTCATTAGATTAAAGCCTACTAACATAACGCTCTTCAATTGCATCAATCACCATGATGAGAGGTGACTCCACGTTCTTCGATTTCTTTCTTTTGGATGCTTTTATGTTTTTAAACCATCAAAGCCTTCCGAAAAAAGAAAAAGTGATTTGATAATGTTTGTTCATATGATCAATTATATGGTTGAATGGTAAAGTTTTCAATATTTTAAATTATAGGTTAATCTTTAATAACTTAATCTTTTATTTAACCTTTAAATTTATAAATTTTAAAGTTTTTAACCCCACAACAACACAATTTAAAAAAATTTATATTAATACTATTAAATTTATGGCATATTTTTTTTTACTTAAGCATTAGTTATATATCATGCCCATCCCATTTTATGACACATCAACGCCATCTCCTCTACATAACACGCGACAATGGCAATGAGTGGAAAATTTTCGGCCAATAAAACATAAGTGATAAGTCCCACTCTATCATTGTCACAGACAAGGTGACATGACAGTGTGCCACGTTAGGTAGAAGGGATGATGTTAATGTATTACCAAGTGGATTAGATTTGATGTTTTACTAACACTCACATGACTACATGACTACATGAGAAACTTGCCTTAAATTTATAAAACAATAATAAATTTTCTCAAATCAAATTATTGGAGGGTTACTAAAATTTTTAGGTGAGGAGCAAAATCTTTAAAATTTATAAGTTTATGAGCCAAATAAGAGATTAAGTCATTCGTAATCTCTATATATTAAAAAAAAAAAAAGCATTCCTTAATGATAAACATGATGCAACAATAACTTCTATTAGTTGTTTTTTTTTTTAATAGGAAAATGCAAATTTACTTATTTAATATCACAAAATTATTAATAAATTTTATCAACAAGTCAGTTTCAAAGCTAAAGCCATCAAAGCTTATTGTTTGTTGAGATTAAAAAAAAAGAAAAAGAAAAAGAAAAAACAGCCGACCACCACCAAACTTCATCAAGCTCATGTTCTATTTTCTTCTTTTGTACAGCATTACAATGAATTATGACTAATTAAAAGTCTCATACATGACCATCGTGAGTAAATAAAATTGTCTGATACACTTAATTTTCCGTGCATATGAATATTAATTCATGTACAGTAAAATGTTTTGCACTTTAAGACCCAAGAAAAAAAGAAAAGGAACAAAAGAAGAGAATTGCATTGACTAAAAGGTATATTGCAGTTCCTAAATCAAAATTAACAATAATTACGTCCTTTCAACAGCTGTAATTATCTTTTTTTTACCATACATTGAGCTTACAGTTACAACCAAGTAATCTTGATTTCCTGATTAGGAGTGATTATCAACCTTTTCTAACCCATATCTATACGTATCTTGCATATAACATTGGGCACACAAAATGTACATAAAAATAAAGAAGTTGATACAAGCACAGTCTTATTTCTATTAACGAAATTTTGCAGTAGCGGACCTGGCTGAATAAGTGAGATTACTACTTAAAATTATGAGATAAATTTGTGTGAGAACCAAGAACCAGAACATAAGCTGCACTTGTCGTGGGGTCACAGCCCACAGGGGATGTTGCTCAAATCAGCACGGTAACCCAAGAAAGCATAAAAGGTACCCCAGACCCAAGTATTCCTGAGCAATGCTATGTCGGGAAGGGGCATAGATGCGTCTCAGATCACTTTTGATATACATGTTCACACCAATTTTAACTCAGTTTTGAGAAAAAAAAAAAAACCAATAACAAAAAATTGACAACGTGTATGATGTGATATGACTCTAGTGCAAGCAACCATTGCATCAGTAATCAGAAATTGGTAAGCGTCAGATGTTAGGGTTGTCACGTCATTTAACTCTTTCACGGCACGAGCAAAGGAAAAGACACGCACCCCCAAACAACTGATTTTGGAGTTTGGACCGTAGGATCATAGGATCTGGCACAGCATGGAGTGAAAGCAAAAAATGTTAATGGGGATAGAAGAACAAGTGATGCAGATGAAATGCCACAGTTTTATGAGTTAATAGTCATGTGTTCACCAGTGTTAAATGTTTATGATATCTATATGATAATAGGCAAGTTTGAAACTAGACCAGTTAGAAACCAGTTGAACAAACAAGACGATGCGAACCTCTCCAGGTTATGTTATGATCGAAGAACAGTCGTAAGTAATTGTCCAGATAGACAATTTATGTGCATCCTGTGCTCTGTGCTGAAGAGTTGGATCGCCATGAAGCAATCAAGCAACTACAAACAAACTCAGCACGTGTTGGGTATCAACTAAACAACTTCTACCAAAATGCATACATAGATTCATTAAAGGCCAGCAGGCGATAAGAGCTACAGCATTATCAAGATGCTTGATAAACAATTAACTTATACTCAGGTGATCAGCACAGCGTGAGAAGAGCAACAGAATGAGAAAAAGCCAGGATAACCATAAAGGATTCTGAATGTGAATGCTAAATAGCAACAACTCTACTTAAAGCTTTTATGTCAGTAGTAATGAACTAACTTTTATAATGTTTTTAAGATTAAATTCATAGTCCTCTAAAACTTCAAAACCCACATGCAAATTAAGCTAGAGGTAGAGATGCCCCCCAAGGAGCTCAGTTGTCAAAAGGAAGAGTGACAGAAGTTATCAGCATCAAATTAGTAGATCAAGGTGTGAAGTTCACAACTTTTATTTGTAGTGAGCAGCATATAGGATAAAGATGGAGAAGGCAAATTAATTACCTAAATTTTAAAGCATCTTAATTCTCATGGATGTTTCCTGCACCTAATAACTAGCCCCTATAATCTAGTTTTTTAAGAAAACAAAGTTCCATTGTTTTGAAGGATTTTTCACATGTAGGACCTTGTTATCCAAGCAAATTCATTTGCAAGGAGTAACTTTAAACTGCTTCTTGCTTAAAGTGCATAACATCACAGTAAATTTTGGACCAAGGCACCCATATCAAAATGCTATCCCCTACAGCAAAAACAAAATCTTTCATTGCCAATATGTGAATATGGTGGGATGCTAAAATACCTTTCAATGAGAAAAAATCAGACGTTTAAGTATCCTGTCAACGCAATACCATACCAAACTAACAGACTCCGGTACTGAAGAATGCATATGCTTCTAATTTTTCCAAGATAGGAAACATATCTAGAGAATCCAAAAATTCCTTCTCCTAGTTTCCAAAAGGTTGATTTGGATCATCAGGGCAATTCATGAATAAAAGAAATGCCAACCAGAGAAACATAATTAATTCACCCAAGCTCTTGTGAGAATATACTGGGACACAAGATAATAAATTGTCAATTAGATTTACCTTCTGGATTTGCTGGAGAGAAAATCTTATTTCCCTTTTCAATTCGTAAGTAGTTTAGATAAGTTATATTGGATATAACAGCAACTCAGACACAACAATGCAGAGGCATAAGACTGAAGAAAGCAACAAATAAGATTTTTTTATGCATGAAAATGAAAGCACACCAAAGACAGCACAAAATGAAAGTTCATCAAAGACAGAGCAGTGTAATGGGAAGATGTTGCTCATTCAATGTGAGCATACAAGATTAAAATTCAGCTAAGATGGCCCTTGGCAATTCATATAATAAAATGTGTAAGTAAGAAATGCAATGGTATCATATTTCACTTGTTTGGATTAAAAATGCAGACTTCACAGTAATTTACAACTAAACTAGTAATTGAGAAACAGATGTGCTTAGTCATCACCATCAACAGCGCATACAGAGACATTTAACCAATCACATTCAAAACACCTGTGGAAACAAACCACAATAAAATCCAGTGCTTCTAGTTGTCACTACTGCAGATGATCATAAACCCATTCTTTCATGAAATGCAATAAGATTAGAAACGAAGTAAATTAACCCAACATCTTTCCCTCAAAATCAAGACCAGAGAACAAACAGACAAGTTACTCATTAACTCAGCCTCTTTTGAGCATGATATAGTATTAAATACCTACACTCTTTAATTATAAACTAATCACCAATGTATTGCAAAGAAAGATAGAAAAACAAAAGTAAGAGACAATTAACAAAGAAAAACAAAAGCTCATCCACCTATCTTCACCACCAGCTATTTACTCAGCTCGCCTCTGCTGCCTCTCTCTCTGCTTTTTCTGCAAAAAGCTTCATTGCAAACATATTATCATTGAAATACTGCCTATAAGGGTGATTACTGGGAACAAGATTTCTGAACTTGTTAAAATTTTTATCTGCCTCATCTTTCTTCTTCAACAATGTATATATAATGCCCATACACAGGTATGGCCTAAAATCCCTTGGCTCCTCCTTAACGAGCTCCTGATAAATCTTCAAAGCTTCAAAGTGTTCATCTTCAATTAATCGTATCTGTGCAATCAATAGATTAAAATCCCTAAGAGCTTTGGTATGCTTCTCCTTCTTGCACTTCTCCATTGCCTCAGTAATCCTCTTCTCCAACTCCTTTAATTCTTGCCCCGAGTCTGAATAAGCCATGACAAGGCCATGATAGGCCTCCACACGAAAAGGGTCTTTCTTCAATATTTCCTCAAACTCCTCCTTTGCCAACTCGCAATCCCCACTAAAGCTACGAATTTGTGCTTTCAACATTTGCCATTCAGTTTCCTCCGGCTCGAGCTCAATCATACGATTGATTAATTCAATCGCTTCTTGGAGCTTGCCCAATTTGATCTTAATCTCCATGAGGGACCGTAGAGCCTTGATATCATCTGGGTATCGAGTTAAGTACTCATCCAAGGTCCTCTCTTGCTCGTCGAGAGAAACATCACTGTCCGTTGTTTCTTTGGTGAGGGGCTCCACCGTTGCTTCTGTCGTAACTGGGGCGGCAATCGCAGTTTTGTGGTGGTTGAGCCGAATAAAGAACAAAGCGGTAGCCATTACGGCGATGCAGGTGGTTTTCAAGATGGTGGTTACAGTTTGGAGAAGGGAAGGTTTGGGCGTTTGAGGGACTCGGTGGAGACACCCTGAGGGGGACGGCGGTGAAGAGGATGAGGCTCTGGTGATGCATAATTTGAATGGAGATAATGGTGAGGATGGGCGTACAGCTCTGCAGGATACAGAAGAGAAAAGGGGTTTCGGAAATGAAAGACTGCGGTGGTTGAGCGAGAGATTGAGGGGTTGGTGACGGCAGTCCATTTTAGTTAGAGACGCCATGGATGATCTCCGCAGAGAGACTCCTTAAACCCTGGTAGATGATAGCGAAGAGGGGAAAGGAGAAAGGTGAAATTCAAAACCTCTAGGCGCAGAACGGGCCGAGGCCCAAACCACAGCGCTCTAGATATTGGACTACAAGGCTAAGCCCAATACAGAACTTCACTATATGGGCTGATTACAGCAACCCAATGGGCCTATAGGTCTTCGTTCTTGGCCTTTTAAGTCTCAATCTCACCGGATAGAAATGCACCATTCCACTTGTATGGCAATGGCATGCCTTCTTCGGTCTAAATATTTTCAATGCTAAACAATTAGTCTTTAATGCGAAACATTTATTATCAATAAAGTCTTAAGTTAATTGGTTAATGAAGACACGATTTTGAATTTACGGGTTTGATTATCATGCAAACGAAGATTTTTCTATTTTATATATAGTTAAGTGGTTAAATCTAATCATACTGACTTTTCTATGCAAAAACCTATGTGACACTACAAAGAGGGAGGAAAATGAATAATACATTAATGATAGGTAGGCGTGGGCCAAAATCTAATTTACAATGGCATAGAAGACACGCAAGAAGTTCCCCACCCAATGGGCAGAGTGGTACCACTTTGCTCCTTAAGTAGATACACCACCGGGTGTATAGTATTTGATCCCCAATTCTCCTTCTTTTTTTTTTTAAATCTATTATTAAAAAAATATAATGGCATTAATAGATAATTATCCTTTGTTTTAAAAAAGAAAATGCAAGCAAAGGAGGAAAAAGGCTGGGAAAACTGACCGCCACGTGGACTCCACATGGCATGGGTTCTTACCGTCACGCTTCTCAACTTCCTTTTATTAACCGACAACAAACAGGAGCTAGTACAAAGTGTACAACCATCATACTACGTCGTTTTGCTTCCTTTCGTAGCCTTCTACCATAGAATTACTCCCGAGTTTTATCGTCTTCTTCGGCTACAGAATTACTCCTTGGTGTCCCTTATGGAAGAATTGGAGAGCATGTTCTGAATCCTTCTCTTCATCTCCATGTCACTTGCTCTCTGCTCTCTTCTGCTTGCGTACCCCTCAAAAAACTCCTTGTTCTCCTTCTCTAACTCATTCCACACTATAAAATACAATAAATATATGATCGTTTATTGTGTAACTCATAATCTGATATATATGGTATAATACAAAGAAAAAATAACTATTAACCTGTGGAGGTGATGATTGGCTTGATATCTGCATGCTTAAACAAAGCTTCCATGCACTCTTCTTTGCTCATGTTGAATACCAAACACTCCTCTATAAGATGATGCACCTACACAAATAATCATGTATATGATCATTGTTGGGAGAGTTTAACAATCATCAAGAAATTAAAACCAACAATCATCAAGGAGCAACAAGATCAAAGCATCAAAGAAATTAAATGAGTCCATATACCATACATACCATGTGAATATATGAAGCAGAAGAGTCACCCATGATTATTAGGGAGGAAACAAAGAGGAGGAAGAAGGGAGTAGATAAAGAAAGAAGAATAGGGATTTTGAAGAGAGAAAATAGAAGAAAAAGGCGAGGAAAAAAGAAAGTGGGAGAAGAGTGGAGAGAGCAGTGGGATCAAAGAAAGCCAAAAATGTTGAATATAAAATGGAGTGGGTAATTGGTTTTGGGATTATTAAATTATTAAATTAATAGTTTAATTAGTGGGAATGTTGAATATTGGTCTCATGATGTCATGGAGTTTTTGTGGGGTCCAATGCCCACGTGGGGCATGGCCTGTGATTGGTGGAGAGGAGATCAGAGGGGATCTTACAAGCAGGCTGTGCACAGTATTTAGCCCTATTTACCGGTTAGCGACAGATCGGCTCTAACAATCCCTATCTAATTTGTTGATTTTATTACATGATGAATTATTATATATATAA